AAAGAAAGAAGGATAGAGGTATAAAATTGAGCTATTGATTAATATTGGAAATTTATTTGGAACAGTGTTATATTGGAATTATTATATTGAAAGTTGAAGTGTAAAAGTGTATAAGATTAAAAGAATAAAGTAACTTTACCAATTTAAAAAAAAAAAAAAAAAATTTCGGCTCCCGCCCAGAGGTATAGGCAAACTTGCTAGCTAGTAATTCAGTATCCATTTTTATGTGTGTGTTTATGATTGTTTTTGTTGTTTTTGTTGGTTTTTTTGTGCTGTTTTTCGTTATAACGTTTCGGCGGCTAACTATGTTTTGAAAAACATATAGAAAAAGTAGAAAAACTATACCAAATGCAACCTTTCATAAAAAAAGTTTTCAGTGGCAAGTGGAAATTATAGTGACTTGAATGGTTGAAGAATAATGGCTTGTGATAGTGAAAGAAAAGTAACATTGGGTGAACTAGTTGTAATTGACAGGTACAATGATCTAGGCGAAGATGATAATATGGCAGATTCTGTGGCATTATACAAAGGTATTCGATTGACCATCGGTAGGAACGTTAACAATGATATTGTGATCAATCATCCAGCAGTCTCCGGAGAGCACTGTGTTATATGGGCGATTCAATTTGATGATAATTCTATTCCATTAATTTATCTCAAAGATTTGTCATTAAATGGAACCTATGTCAATGATAACAAGATCGCTAAAAATTCAGTTTCATTGTTAAATCATGGTGACGTGATAACAATTGAATATGGAATTGAAATTGAATATCAATCTGTATTTGGTTACCAGGAATCTGAGTATGGGGAAGAGATTATCTCAAAAGGCTCAATCTGTAAAGAATTCAAAAACTGGACTATTTCAAATAGAATATTGGGTAATGGAACTTTTGGATATGTAAGACAGATACCTTGACTTCCATTTTAGCTTTGACGGGGAACTAATATTATAGGTTTTTGTATCTCAGAGAAAAGTTGATTCTAAGTTATGTGCTGTTAAGGTTATCAAAAACACACCAAATGTTATTCCATTTGAAGCCAAAGTATTGATGAAGTTGAGCCATGTAAGTGAAGCGCAGAAAATTCTAGACGTGGAGCATCACTGACATAAACACTAGCCAAATATTATAAATGTCTATGAGACAAAAATCATTGGGAACCAATTATACATCTTTGAAGATTTGTAAGTAGGATAGCATATCCTATGAAACGTTCACTAACACTTTATAGGATTTGTGGAGGGGACTTATTCTCCTATTTAGCTAAAGGTGACTCCTTAACGGCTTTGCCAGAATTTGAAGCACTAGTTATTGCGTACCAAGTATTAGGTGCCCTTCGTTATCTTCATCAAAATAATATAGTTCATCGTGATTTAAAATTGGATAACATTTTGTTGGCTTCACCTGAACCTTTTACCAGAATTGTTCTTGCAGATTTTGGAATTGCTAAATCAATATGTTCAACAAAAAGAAGAATGTTTACCGTTGTTGGAACTCCAGAATATTGTGCACCAGAAGTTGGATTTGATTCCACAAAGAATCCTGAATTTAACACCGGAATATTGAAAAAACTCTCATTGGTAAAAAGAGGATATGACTCAAAATGTGACATATGGTCCCTTGGAATAATCGTTCATATAATTTTGAGTGGAATCTCACCTTTTTATGAAGATGGTAATGAAATAAATATCATCAAAGCAGCTAAAAGAGGGAGTTTAAAGTTTCACTTAAAACAATGGGCAAAGATTTCTGATTCAGCTAAGGATTTTGTTCAATCATTGTTGTGTGTTGATATTGAGAAAAGATTCAATGTTATGGAATGCTTTGAACACAAGTGGATCACGATTCACGAAGCTGAACTTGCAAGAGTCAATGCAAAGATTTTTTCAAACTTTAGAGATTGATCTATGGTCAGCTAAAACTAGCTTCTTATCTTGCCTGGTATATATATATATGGTGTCCCTGCCAGTAAGAATTTGCACAATGTTTTGAATATATGTAGTGTAGTCAGTCTCCTTTGACCATCGAAGTTTTTAAGCGAGCTGGATACATATGCAAGGAGTCCCTCATAACAACCCTGTGTACCTCACATCATTAAAGATTTTCCGTTTCTGTGGTTTCCAAACTCCTATGAAGGTTGAAGTTGCGAAATTCATCAAAGGGTGTCAATTTGACGCAAAAGAAAAGCAGTGTTCTACTTTTCACAAGCTCTCGAATTAGTTCGTGAGGATGGAACTCATATCACGACGGCTACGTTGAAAAGTTCACTCGTGAAATGAAAAATTGATGTTGTTTCTGGATTTCCCAAAGCAGCTCACCTTCCATTTTCGGAAGTTTCTGTGCACATTTTTTTTCGTGTTTCAAAGCGAAATTGGCGACTTTTTGCAATTTTTAAAAAAAAGTTTGTTTCTATAACAACAAAAATTCAAAATACAAATAAAAAAAAACCGCTACAGCCATAAATAATTTATCAACATTACGTACCAAAGGTACCTCAAACCAATATCATCAACAATCCATCCCTTTTGTTATTTATAAAGGGGCATCCAAGAGTAAAGGATATCTAGGGGACAAAATTATTAATATTACAACACCCTCATCCCAAAACTGTTTTCCCTTATTCTTTTACAAAGAGAATATCATTTTTGAAACTATCGGGTATAAATTATTGGTGAAGTCCAATTTGCCTCCTTCAAACATCAAACAAAAAAGACTTTAAAACCTATTAAATTACGTTCAGATAGTGTGTCAAAGACAGTTCCTTCGTCATTTCAAGTTTCAATTCTATCAAGCTGCGCATTCCCTTAATTTTGTTAAGAGTACACCTGTTCAGTCATCAATCACAGAAAACTCATTAACAGACCGCATGACGGAGCAAATAGAGACAATAAGTGCTAAAGGAAGCACTTCAGAGCAAAATGATAACAAAAAATCAGCATCCTCTGAGACTATACCACCATCAACACCAGAAAGAACTCATCGTTCCTCGTCATCCTCATCAAACACAAATTCCAAGAATGATCCTATAATACCATCAACACCACCATTAAACTCAAGAAGAAAGTTTTCAAGTGGAAATTTTCAATCTCCAGGAGATTTGGCTTCAAACCCAAATACTTTATTACCACCAGCCACACCTTTTATGAGCTCTACAGGTAAATTTAGATTATCCAATGTGCCTGAAACTCCATTTTCTGCAAAATCTACAAATGAACTCACCACATCACCTTTGAAATCACCTTCCCAATTTAAAGATAATGAGGATTCTGATAAACCTCCCATTAGACAAATATCTTCAACTTTGAAAGCTAGGTTAAGTTATGCATTTGTTAAATACCAACATGGATGGGCAAATCAATCATTAGATGAATTGGAAAAGACGATAATGAATAAGGATTCTGACTTGGAAGAACCCTTTAAAGATTTGGCATCATCACAAAAATCAAGAACTTATGAAGAATTTTGGAATAATACCAATGGTAAATCTCCTCAAAAATTATCTCCTTCAAAAGTTACCAAACCAAATAATAGTTTACTGAAGTCTCCAACAAAAGTTAAACTTGAAAATGCACATTCAGTGGAGCAATTACAAGATGATGGTTCTGCAAACTTGGCATTTTTACAAGCAATATCTAAAAGCAGATCACCAAAGAGAAGATCCCATTTACAAAATAATCTAAGAATTGATGCATCAAAATTCCAACAACAGCAACAACAGAATCCAGAAGCAGACGCTGTAGAGACATTAATGTCCCTATCGTCACCTCAATCATTCAAACCAAAGACTGATTTCATACCTCAACAAAACCTACCCAGACAAAGACTGTCATTTGGTGATCATTTAGTTCGACAATCCCCAAGACAAACACATCCACATTCACCTCATCATTATCATCCTCAAGCACAAGGGTTCAATAATCATCGTCATGCAAATCATCATAGTCATCATGCTCGTTCGGGTTCTTCAAATGATAATGCAATAGAGACGGAAAGTGATACAGAGTACGAAGAGTCTAATACAACAGATGAAGAAGATGTGTCTACCCAATCTCAAAGTAATGGCACAAAGACTGAGAATGACGAGGATGAGGATGTGGAGATAAGGACCAGTAGTGGCACAAAGAGCCCAGAATCATAGAATGCATTGTTTTGTTTGATTTTTTTTAAAGAAGTTGATTTTAGTTCATTTATCGTTTATTTTTTTAACTATACTTATGATTCATTTCTTTTAAGTGGCCTTTGACCCATGTTTTAATACTTTTTAACTTTTTGTATACCATACATGAATAGACAGTACGGAGTGCTGCAAACGTTTTCAATTTCTAATATTATATCCATACAGTTAATGCTCAATGTATACAACAGATTGTACTGCAACTAGAGATATAAATGATCACCCCTGTGTGATTGTGTTAAGTTCTGTATATATTCAAGTCCTTATTTTAGCGTTGTTTGCCGAAATTACTGTTTACACGCTTTCGTTTGACAGAATCATCAAGGTCTCCGCAAAACTAATCTTTAACCGAGCTCGAAAAATAGACGTTGATGAGCTTTTGAATGTTTAAACTTCAAATAATATAAAAAAGCAGAATTCCTATCAGTGATCAATTATTCAATTCAACGATGATGACAATTAAAGCTTCATAGATAGAATCATTTTGATTGCCTTAATCACCAACTACCTTCAAAACTAGAGAATAATGTCTTCTTCATCTATCTATTTTGATAGATTTGAAAGAATCTTTGATGCTCAATTCCCAAGATTCAACAAGAATGCGACAATTCCTCCAAATTCAAACCATCTAAAGATAGTTGTTGATCATTATAAACTTCGCAGCTCATTAAAATCACCAGAAAGAAAACCAATAAATTTGTATCTCTTACATGGAACAGGGATGACAAAAGCCATTTGGAGATATTATGCTAAAAGATTATATGAATTTTCAGAAACAGAATCTCCAATCTGGCAAATTGATAACATTATTGCCATGGATCTTGTTACTCATGGTGAATCTGCAATGTTCAATATGGGCAAATTAGGATATGAATATGATTGGAGAGATGGTGCCAGAGACTTGGTCAAGATTGCCTCTGAGTTAAATTTACAAGGTGATAATATTGCTATTGGACATTCAATGGGTGGGTTTCAATCCGTTTATGCTGCATTTTTGGCGCCTACATTGTTTAAATTTGTCGTTCCAATTGAGGCTGTTTTGAACCAATCTGAGAATTCTCGCAAAAGGTTTAAAGGCTTATTGCCTGCTCTAAATAAGGTTATTACCACTGAGTTTAGGAATGAGGTGGAATATGAAACATTTATGAAAAAGAAGAGTTTCTATACAGGTTTTAATAAAGAGATTTTGGATGACTTCATCAAGGCTGAAAAATGGGTTCACCCAGACGGCACTGTTTCTACAAAGACTTCAAAACAACAGCAGATGCTCGGATATTATGTTGGTGGCTTTATAACTCCAATAGCTTTAGAAGTTGTTCACAATATCTTCATTCCTATTGTTCATGTTATAGGCAGTGAAGCCACATGGAATGAAAAAGAGAGTGTGGAACTCATACGTAATGGACATATCAACGTACTAGACGCTGTTGATATAAAAGGCGGTCAACATTTAGTTAATGGAGAGCAGCCCGATGAGGTTATTAAAGTATTGATCAGTTCTTTCAACAAGTATATCAAACGAGATGAGGATAGTGATTTCCAGAACAGCAAACCATTGAGTTCAAAGGATTACAATGCTACTTTCAAGACTGAATATGCAAAAATCGAGTCCAGCATCTTTACCAAGAAGAAACCAGCCAAGTTATGACCACTAAATAGTTTTTTATGAGATTTTGTTAAAGTACTTTTTGATGTAGGTTTGCTGACCCTTTCGCGAATGGCAGAGAGAGTATTTTTTAAGAGGGGACATTCGCGGTGGATGATGTACTCATCGGTTCGCAAATATAGCGCTTCCAAGTTCCAAGTCAAGATGATCATTGTGTCAAGAGTCAAGAATACGGTGGATATTTGTGGTGCAACGATGTATATAAACACTTGGGGTGCCGTGATTATAGGGTGTCCTTGGTTTACCTTGATCAACTAAAGTGAAAATGTCACAACCTTATGATCGATACGTTAAAGTGGTTGAAGCAGAGTTCCCAAGGATGACAATAAACTCAACCATCCCAACTGGAATATCTCTGGCAGTGGTGTTTGACCACTACAGAATAAGAAGAGGGTGGAAAAGCCAAAACAGAAAGCCTGTCAACCTGTTCTTCATGTCTGGCACAGGAATGACTAAAGCAATATGGCAATACCATATCAAGAGACTGTTTCAATACTCTGAAGAACATGAAGATTTACCATGGCAATTGAATAATGTTATAGCAGTGGACTTGGTAAATCATGGTGAAAGTGCTGTTGAAAATACAGGAAGGCTCGGGTTTGTTGTAGATTGGAGAGAAGGTGCACATGACTTGATACAAGTTGCAAAAAGTTTGAGGTTACAAGGTACCAATGTCGTTGTTGGTCATTCTATGGGAGGCTTTCAAGCTCTTCATGCTTCCACATTAGCACCTTTGATGTTTCAACATGCTGTTGTTATAGAACCAGTGATTTATGGGGACCCTGAATCTTCTGCAAGGCTGGATAGAATGATTCCTTCGTTGAACAAAGTTATCAAATCAAGATTCAAAAATGAGCAAGAGTTTGATCATTTTTTCAAAAATCAAAGTATCTTCAAAAACTTCAACAGTGAAATACTGGATGATTTTATTGAGTCTGAAAAATTAGTTCACAGGGATGGAACTGTTAGTGCTAAAACCTCAAAAGAACAACAATTGATTTGTTATATGAATGCATCTTCTGCTGTTAGATTGTGGAGAGAAATTTTGTCTAACGTTACAATTCCTGTGATTCATGTTATTGGTTCTGCAGCTACATGGAATCCACCACAAAGTGTGAAAGAGGTCAGACAGTTATTGAAACACGTTAAAGGGGTTGATATTGAAGGTGGTCTACACTTGGTCAATTGCGAAAAACCTGACACGATTGTTGACATTCTGCTGGATTGCTTGAACAATAACATTGACAAGTCAGTAGAAATTGATCCATACCAAGGCAAAAGTTATGAGGATGTGTTTAATGAGAACTTCCATAGAATATACAGTGCCAAATTATGATGTTTATGAATAATGAATTAATATATGAATACATGCTGAACTTATCGGCCGAGTAACCTGGCTGAGTGTGCCTCTAACCACAAGTTTTTTTTTTTTTTCTTTTTACTTTAGGAAAAAAAATTTAAAATATTCTCTTCAAAATTGACATCTAATTAGGTAACTAGACCAGTAGAATTAGACATAATTGAAGATGGCATCCAAAGAAGAAATCATATCATTAGTTGCTGACTACTTAGAGCGTAATGATTTAGTCGGAGTTGCTAAAAAATTATCTAAGGACGCTGAAAAGAAAGGTTTAAAGATTGAAAAGAGTGATGCTAAAATTGAAGAGTTGATAACTTTAAAAATTAAAGAAGTTAAAGAAAAGGAATCTTCCTCAGACTCATCATCTGAATCAGATTCTTCAGATTCTTCAGATTCAGACTCAGGCTCAGACTCTGATGATGAATCCAGTTCTAGTTCAGAGAGTGAAGATTCCGATTCTTCAGATTCAGACTCAGAATCAGAAGAAAAAGCTTCAGAAAAACCAGAAATAACAAAAACATCATCCTCATCCTCATCATCATCAGATTCAGAATCATCGTCATCAGATTCAGATTCAGACTCTTCCTCTTCAGACTCCGAAAAAGAATCAGAAAAAGCAGTAGTGAAAGCGGAAACAACTAAAGAAACCTCATCCTCATCCTCTTCATCAGACTCAGACTCAGACAGCTCAAGCTCAAGTTCTTCATCAGATTCAGACTCAAGCTCCTCGTCAGATTCATCATCATCATCTGATAGTGATTCCTCAAGTGATTCTGATTCTTCATCAGACTCAGAACCAGAAAAAGAAAAGGAAAACACCAAAAAAAGATCTCGCTCCGACTCATCATCTTCAGAATCCTCATCAGACTCATCAGACTCAGATTCAGACTCATCATCATCATCATCATCAGAAGATGAGAAAAAACAAGTTTCTAAGAAACAAAAATTGGAAGAAAAAGTCCCAAGTTCAGGTACTGCTTCATTATCAAGCAATGAAAGCTCAATCGCAGCCACTCCTGAAGCAGAGCTAAAAGATGGTCAACGTAAACATTTTTCAAGAATAGACAGATCAAAAATCTCATTTGAAGCTTCTGCTTTACAAGATAACACTTATAAAGGTGCTGCCGGTACTTGGGGTGAAAAAGCTAACGAAAGATTAGGCATGGTTAGAGGGAAAGATTTCACCAAAAACAAAAACAAGATGAAAAGAGGTTCTTACAGAGGTGGTTCCATTACAATGGCATCAGGTTCTTATAAATTCACTGATTAAGAAACTTTATTCGCATCTATTTTAGTTTGATAAAGCAGCTATTAAATTGGAGTTAATTTATTTTTATACTTGTTTTGATTATTTCTTTTGGTTTATCATCTTCTTTCGCTTCAGTATTCTCCATTAATTACTATATAGAGATACAAATGTACTATTTAATAATTTATTTGAAAATTTTCGCGAATTAGTTATACTTTTGTGTCCCGTAAACAACTCTATTTGGTGTTTGGGTTTCTAGAGAAACATAAATGTGAGCATTTGAAATCAGTAATTATCATCATTTGCCTCTTTCAATGTTCAGCTCATTTGCACACATCATAGGCCCAATATCATCAGACTAAACAATGTCCTTACGTGCTGGTACTCGTAAGAGCTATGCTGAAGATGAAGACTTCTCAGATTCAACAAACACAAGTTTTTCAGAAGAAGAAGATGCAGACCTTGATCCAGCTTATACAAAAACAAACACTTCTATGAAGATCAACAAGGGACCTAAGGCACCCAAGAAAGCCACTGGTGGTGATGATGATGGTGATATAGGTATGGAGATGGACATACCACCTGATTATGTGCCCGATGTCGTTGCAAAGATGTTCAACAAGAATGACTTTTCATACTTGAAGCTAAAACCTGATCATGCTTCAAGACCTTTATGGATATCACCAAGTGATGGTAGAATCATTTTGGAAAGTTTTTCACCTCTTGCTGAACAAGCTCAAGATTTTTTAGTCACAATTGCTGAACCTATCAGTAGACCAAGTCACATGCATGAATATCGTATAACGGCTTATTCATTGTATGCAGCAGTTTCAGTGGGTTTGGAGACAAATGATATAATTTCGGTGTTGAATCGTCTATCGAAAGTTCCAGTTGCTTCTTCAATTATAAATTTTATCAAAGGTGCAACAATTTCTTATGGTAAGGTTAAGTTAGTTTTGAAACATAATAGATACTTTGTGGAAAGTACACAAGCAGACATATTACAAATGTTATTGAAAGATCCTGTTTTAGGTCCACTAAGGATAGATTCATCAGAAAACAATAATGGGCTCACGTCCGAGAAGGCTCCTGTTCAAGGTGATTTGAGAATTCCTGGGACAAAACCAGTAAATGCAAATGGTGTATCTGAAGAAAAAGTTGAGGACATTTATGCATCAGTTATTGGGGATAGAGAAGATGATAACGATGATGATGACCTTGATGCTGTTCATTCTTTTGAAGTTTCCAATGATTCTGTTGAAATTGTGAAGAAAAGATGTCAAGAAATTGATTATCCCGTGCTGGAAGAGTATGATTTCCGTAATGATACAAGAAATCCTGATTTAGACATTGATTTGAAACCATCAACTCAAATTAGACCTTATCAAGAGAAATCTTTAAGTAAGATGTTTGGTAATGGTCGTGCTAGATCTGGTATTATTGTCTTGCCGTGTGGTGCTGGTAAAACTTTGGTTGGTATTACTGCAGCGTGTACTATTAGAAAATCAGTTATTGTTTTGTGTACCTCTTCAGTGTCAGTTATGCAATGGAGACAACAATTTTTGCAATGGTGTACTATTCAACCTGAAAATGTGGCTGTTTTCACATCTGATAATAAGGAAATGTTTCAAAGTGAAGCAGGGTTGGTTGTTTCTACATATTCAATGGTGGCAAACACAAGAAATAGATCTCATGATTCTCAAAAAGTCATGGATTTTCTAACGTCAAGAGAATGGGGGTTCATAATTTTAGATGAAGTTCATGTTGTTCCTGCTGCAATGTTTAGAAGAGTTGTTACTACTATTGCTGCACATGCTAAGCTAGGTTTAACAGCAACATTGGTTAGAGAAGATGACAAGATTAGTGATTTGAATTTCTTAATTGGTCCTAAGTTGTACGAAGCTAATTGGATGGATCTTGCTCAAAAAGGTCATATTGCAAACGTTCAATGTGCAGAAGTGTGGTGTCCAATGACTTCAGAATTTTATCAAGAATATTTACGTGAAAGTGCACGAAAGAGAATGTTGTTGTACATCATGAATCCAACAAAGTTCCAAGCCTGCCAGTTTTTAATTGAATATCATGAAAAACGTGGTGATAAGATTATTGTCTTTGCAGATAATGTTTATGCCTTGCAACAATATGCCCTGAAACTTGGTAAACCATTCATTTTTGGTTCAACTCCACAACAGGAGCGTATGCATATTTTACAAAATTTCCAACATAATGATCAAGTTAATACCATATTTTTGTCAAAAGTTGGTGATACATCTATTGATTTGCCAGAAGCTACATGTTTGATTCAAATTTCATCGCATTATGGTTCTCGTCGTCAAGAAGCACAACGGTTGGGTAGAATTTTGAGAGCTAAGAGAAGAAATGATGAAGGTTTCAACGCTTTCTTTTATTCATTAGTCTCCAAAGATACACAAGAAATGTACTACTCCACAAAGAGACAAGCGTTTTTGGTTGACCAAGGTTATGCTTTTAAAGTTATTACACATCTACACGGTATGGAAAGCTTACCAGATCTTGCTTATGCTTCACCAAGAGAAAGACGTGAATTATTACAGGATGTGCTGTTGAAGAATGAAGATGCTGCAAGCTTAGAAGTTGGTGATGATGCTGATAATTCAGTTGGTCGTGGTAATAACGTTGGAAAACGTCACCACAATGGCGGTAATGGTAGTAAGTCCAAAGCACAAAGAACTGCTGGTTCATTAGCAAGTTTGGCTGGTGGTGAAGATATGGCTTACGTTGAGTACAGCTCGAACAAAAATAAAGAGCTAAAAGAACATCATCCACTGATTCAAAAGATGTACTATAAGAATAAAAAGAAATAGGGTTGTTACCCTAAGTAATGATAAAGAACGTTGAACTGTTTAGTTTCAATTTACATAATGATATAATATCTTAAATCGTAGTCCACTAAATAATAATACATTGTTCCCTAAATACATTATAAACAAAAATTCTTAACACCATAACCGTAACTGATTAGTATAAAACTCTTAAAAACTCACCTATTGTACAACTTCTTCTTCTCTTTGTTTCTCCAACTCATCAATAACCATGTTTTCAAGGTCTTCTAATGAACCTTGTATATTCAATTTAAATGTTATAACTGTGTCCATCATTTTTTGTGCCTTTGAATGTAAGATTTCTCTTTCTTGTTCAACGTTGTTTGCCAATTTTTGGTATTCCATATCAATCGTCTTTGTTTGTTGATCCAACAGAAGCATATTTTGTTTTGAACTAGATTGAATTTGCTTCAACTCACTTTGGAATCTTTCAATTTCTGTATGGTAGAAATTGGCATCTTTTGTCATTGTTTCATACAATACTTCATAGTCCAATTTTCCAGCTGATAACTTTGCCTCCAATGATTCAACTTGTTCAGATTTCTCATTTATAGTTTCACCTATTGAATCCAATTCCTCTTGTAAGCTTATAGCTTCATCTTGTGCTTTATGAATTCTGACATTTATATCATTTTTGAGTTTCTGCAAGTTGAGACGAATATCTGTTTTTATATCTTGACCTTCTAATAAAGCATCTGGTCTTAAACCTAAGCGTTCTTCACTCAGAAGGTTATCCAATTTGACAACATATTTTGAAGCATCAATATCAGGTGAAGTGGAAGCAATTGTGTAGACACTGAAATTGTATTCTTTTAAAGTATTTGATAGTTCCTCATACGCCTGTTGCGCTTCTAATTCTTTTGAATGAACAATTTTCGATATCTCATTAAGTCTCAAGTTGACAGCATCAATTGATTTTGAAACTCTATCTCTTTCATTATTCATTCTGTCAATGTCTTTTGGAGTTAATCCTTGTGCAGATATTTGTTTTTGGATTTGTCTTTTCTCTTCTTCAGTACGAACCAATTCAGCTTCTGAATTTTGCATCTCCTGCTTGATTTGTTCCAAAACGTTGTTCCATTTCAACTTTCTATTTTCCATGGACTCAATGTAAGCTTTGAATTTGAACAAATCACTTTCTAGGGCTTCTGATTTTTTCTCAACAGCTACTAATGATTCAGATTCAGCAACCAGTTTATGATGAGTATCTCTTAGTTTGACGTTTTCATTCAAGAGTCTTTGTGTTTGTTTAACAATATCTTCAGTGTATTTATCATATTCTGATCTCATTTCATTGTAGAATTCAGTGTAGTCATCAATATTGTTTAGGAAGGCGTTATATGATTTGATGATGTAGTTAATGAAAATTCTCTCCAGTTCCAATTCATTTTGGTCTGTTCCATCATCTAATTCTTCAGGTATCTCATCTTCGGTAAAGTCCATCACTGATATTTCCTCGACCTTTAGATTCAATTGCACCAACCAATATAGCATTCCTAGGAAAACAGGCCAGTTTTGACCACCAACAGCTGAAATTTGTGATTTGTTAACTGAATCAAGATACGGATACTTGATATTCTTTAACACGTAATACACTTCATGCTCAATACTTTTGGTGAATCTATAGCCTGGGTCAACTTTTTTGTACAAGAATTGAAAGATAACGACAAAATCTTTTTGAGTAGGATTTTTCAAAGCCTTGATTCCCAGTGGATGTCTCATTTCAGTTTCAAAGTTGTGAGTTACTAAAAAGTCAAAAATCTCTTGTTGAATTGATGCTTGAAAATTTTTGTCACGTAAAGGACGGGGGTCTTTTGATTGTGATAAAGATCCCAATCCAAATGAAGATGCCCTATGAGTTGGACGAGAGCTAAATAACTGTTAGTATCAACCCTAAGTAAAAATCCCAAGTAATACATACACTGAATTCAGTCCAGCTAAACTCTTTCTTCTTCCATTACGAATTGCACTTTGTTGAACCATTTCACTTATACCGGTTGATGAGTTTCTATTGACACTTGGTCCCATACTATTTGTTCTTGGAGCTCCGATCATTGACTGCCTTGCTGATATTCTATTTGAGTTTCTCTTGAGCCCAGAGGATAGCTGTGGAATATTGGAAACATTGTGTACTTGATTCAAATCCAATTGTGAAAGAGGGATGTTGTCGCTCCTCAAGCGTTTGTAATAATTGTCTTGAGACATGAAAGAAGGGATGTGATGAACCTAGCGAGTGAATAATGTAGAGTTATGGTGGATATGTGGTGTATGATCTGGCCCTTTTGCTAGTTGTCGCGTCGTTAACGTGGTTGACGTGGTTGTGATTTGTGGATATATATCGTTTTTTTGTTTTGTTTTTTTTTGTTTACCAAAATCTCAACTTGACCAGAATCGGTAACCATGGAAACCATAAATCTTTTGACAAGGGGCCACAGCATACTTTGAAAATTCGCGAAATTGTAGAAATCATCATTTTGATTCATTATTTCAGATCAACTGACTGGTCCTCTCAAGATATGCCTCTAGTTTAGATGAAAGGCTACTGCTGGTACGCTATAAAAGATCACACTTTCACTTCAAAGCTCGCAGATATCCATCAAGATTTACTCTGATCGTTACGTACGCTAGAATGTGAATATATTTCTTTCAACTGCTACAAGGTTTTTGTTCGTTGGTGGTTCCTGTGATAGTCCTTCTGCTCCCAAATATATGGAGGTCAATAATCTGGACAGCTCATCAAATAAGGCGTTTGAAGCTGAACATCTTGGGGCTCTCAAAAATTGTTACTTTTTACATCCGCAGAAAGAAGTTTTTTTAAAACTAAACACTTCAACTTAAACTTTAATACTGTTGAGCCAACTGATGGTCTACTACAAATAATCTTTTAGGTAATACATGAGCGTTAGCTTCTAGAAAAAGGTTTTTGAAACAGTTAGACAAAACCCTGAGCTTTGACTCAATTCAAAGAGAAAGTGGAAACGTCGTTTCGTTTATTGACGTATCAAGTATCCCTATGATTGTGTTAGAGGCTTCATATTCTATCGCTTGGTTAATACGTTTTTAAAATTGGGAAAATATGAGTTGGTCAAGTTGGTTTTATAGAAGAACTATCTTTATGATTGAATGAGTGAGGTACAATAACAACAAGTGTCATTGAGTGCTGTGGGCATTGTTATTTCTCGTGAATTTGAAGCTGAATATCCATGGGTGCTGGTGTTGAATATATGGACTAACAAAGAGAAGTAAGAGATGGCATTCATCATTTGCAGGCCGTTATGTTTTGAGCATTCCTAATGGAAAATGTTATTGTTGAACAATCCCTATGACCCCAAGAAAGGAACTGGTAACAATTTTACCGTGGATGCTCAAGCCAATTGGCCAGATATGACAACAAACCGAAAAGCATCTCAAATTAATGGGACAGAATTTAGCCAATTTCGCTTTAAACTAGAGAGAAGAAGAAAGAACGAGAAGATCAGCATTGACCAATTGCCCAAATTACTGACTTGTGAATGATACTGGCAAGACTGATATTGAACAATGTCAGTTATGAAGATTATATAGCTGTTATTGATGGTGAATAAAGCTGTATGAAGAGTATGGAAATGAAAAGCGTATGGGGTTCCTGAAGATTATTAATTATATGTTGAAACTTGACATACATATACTTCATGTTTGGATATTAAAATTCAAAGCAGAGAAAGAATCAAGTTGACATTTTGAACTTTAATATGCTTCCATGGTGAAATCCCAAGCTTCCATTTTCCAAACGAATAAACTTTAAATGAATTTTTTTGTATGTTTACACTGCAGAACGGTTTAAACGTGAGACAAAAGCCTAAAGGTGAGAGAACATCATTGGTGTAAACAATGTGTAGCCATGAAAACAATAAACAATGCAGTAGAAGCTGTGGAATTTGAAGCTGTGCTATGGTATGTACACATACAACTTGTGCAAATCAGTCAATAACCTAGGACTCAGGTACCTTCTCTGCTCGAATTATTAGAGGTTTTGCGTCTCCAAGTGGTATAGAAGAAGAGTCAAGACTCAAGAGTCAAGACTCAAAGTTGGAATTCACGGTAGGCACTAGACTTAACCGAGCCAGCTGGAGGATTGTACTTTTCAGTTTATGCCGTTTCAACTTCTTTCAAGCTTTAATTGTTGAGAATCAGAATCTAATCTACACATAGAGTCAACTTTGACATGTTTGAATGAAACGAAGACATGAGCCGTCGGTATGGAATTGCAAAAGATCACTTCAATTTGTACACAGACGAAATCCCTTTCACCTATAATCATCACGTTGAAACTTGAAAAAAGCTGTGATGCTGTGATAAATTGAACGTAGAAACCAGATGTTTTTCAATTGTTGTTTTCTGCGAGCCATTTTCATGGTCTTGAGGATCAACGTACAAGTCCTGTGTACCATGAGAATAGGTCCATCGTAGCATTGAAGATAGGTCCCATGAAACCCCAAAGAAGATAGTTCTTTGCCAAAGACGGAATTATATGTTTTGATCTATAACTTTTGCAAGGATCAAATATTATTCTTCCAACTTTTGACCAGGTTGAAAAATTAATATTTAATACACGGTGCGCCAGCGCGACCTCACTAAAAATCGGCATTTTACAACTTGTAACTTCACACTTTACAAAGGCATAGAAACCTATGGTTTTCAGTGGGCAAGTCGAACCATCATGTATCTCTGTTCCATAAAGTTGGAACTTGTATGAACCAACTTATCATTATTTATGTACTGCATAGTTTCTGCGGATTTCTTCACCACTGCACATGGGATTTAAAAGTTTCTCAATTGTTGTTGAGGGCAACTGTCTTTAAATTTGGGATCTTGCGCGCCCAAAACGGAGACCATGCATCTCTCCACCGCGACTCACCGCCAAAACCAATACAACGACCTTCCTAATTGGGTGTTTGTTAGGACGTACAAGCATGCGTCACTGCATGGTTTTAGATACGATCGATGAAAAAGAAAGCACAATCATAACATTCCATTCAGCAAAAAACAACAAAAAACCAGGTCAAACTTTTTATGAGTGTTATCATTTAAATAAAGTAAACAACCCACCTTACAATTCCCAACTGCTCTGCCTCATAATAAAGAAGACCTTTACGTTCATTTCACTCATCAAATAATTGTGCAAAAGTTGAATCTTCAGAAATAAACCGTGCCTGTTTTCTATTGTCATATCCCATCGACACTTGTGTCTCAGTCCCATACCGTGTTTTTTTTTCAACATACCAAAGCACGAAAAAGATTTTTCTAAACTGATCAACATTTCACACACTTTAATACTCAAGTATTTGTCGTGGTATATAAAGGAATTGAATTCACTTGAAAAGTAAATCAGCAATTATATTCCAAAATGTTTAAAAATTTCAATACCTCTTTGAAAAAATCAAAGTCAACCAAGAGTCTCAAGATTTCTGAACCACAACAACTTGTTGATAACGATACAATGGATCATAACTCTCAGCTGCTCGACAATAACTATATTCCACCAACTCCCCCATTACCTTCATCATCAAGAAAGAATTCATCCTCATCATTATCATCATCATCAGCAACCCCAAGAAGTACACCTGCATCAAGTACAGTGATATTAATAACAAAGTTTGATTTCAAAGCTGAACACACGAATGAATTAAGTGTTGGTGTTGGTGAAGCATTAAAACTAATTGAAAGAAAAGGTAATGGTTGGATACTAGTAAAACCAATTGGAAGAATTTCCCCACCTGGTTTAATACCTGCAAGTTATGTTAGAATTGTTCGATTAAATAAAAATGAACAATCAGATGTGAAGCTGAATTCCAAATGGTTAGCATCATCTCAAGAAGTTGAAGAACCTGTTAAAGCCAATACCAAATGTTCATCAGTTGACACTTCAATTAGTTCTGATCAAGAACAACATTTTTCATTCCAATCCACTTCAACTTCATCAAGACCAAGTTCACCAACTTCAATCATTTCCAAATCATCAGCTATTTTAGAAACAATACTACCAATTTCAGGATTAGTGAGAAATGTTTCTTGTCATAATGGGAGATATTGGTATAGAGTGGATGTTGAACTGAATGATGGTAAAAAAAGACATCTTTGCAGATATTATCAAGATTTTTATAAGTTACATTGCTCTATAGTGGATGCTATTAGAAGCAATTATTCATCAGAAGAACAACAAGATGCTTGTATTGCCAAATTACCAGCTTTACCTGATCCAATCCCAAGACCGGATCTTGAAACTTTATCATCAATTTTACTTCAAAGATGTCAATCATTAAATGTTTATATTTTCAAGATTGTTCAAAACAAACATAAATTAGATTATTTCAAAATCTTGAGTGAATGGTGTTTACCAAGACTAGGAGATTTAGAATCAGATTCTAAAGACCCAATTTCCAACGAAGGCATTGAATCATTATTAAACCCTATGCCAACATCAGTGATTAACAACAAATCCGGCTCATCATCATCCCACAAAAAACCATCATTAAGTATTCAAACATCAGTTACACCACCATTACCAGTTCCAGAATTACCCCCAAATAGCATGTTATCTAAAAATTCATCAATAATATCATCCAATTCACCAATTGATTCTCCATTAAATTCCCCAAAGATATGGTCTTCACCAAATACCCCATCATCTGCTACATTTAGAGATAGATCCAATTCAAGTGTGAATAATAACAACCATAGTTCATCAAGTTTAGCTACAAGACCATCATTTAGTTTTGAAGATAATTGGATGTCCACACCAACAGAACCGTTATTTAATAATAGAAACTCAAGAGAGAAATTTGTTAACAAGAGAAATGTATCAGTTTCATCAAATATTACAACATCAAGTGCAGACTATATCAAGATTAAAGTTTTCCATAATGATGATATCTTTGCAATTAGATTTAACAAGAGTTTAAAATTACAAGATTTGAGAAATTCAATATCTAAAAGATTAGAATGTGATGTTAATTTGATTAAACTATATTATAAAAATTCTTCAAAGAATTATTTCTCTCCATTAAGTGATGAGTTTGATTTACATTCAGCATTGGATCAACCAAAGATTAGTATTAAAGTTCATTTATGGTGAAGGAGAAAGTTGTGGTGGATATTTTCAATTCATTAGGTATTCAGTTTTATGATGTACAGTTTTGTTTAGTTTTTTTTGTGTTCATTTTTGGTTTATTTTGATTTTCCTTCTTTCTTTCAGTTCTGTTGATTTTTTGCAACGTGATTTTATAATGGGTGATTTTGTGTATAACGAAAATATTTAAGAAACGCTTTAACGATTAGATTAGATATGCCGTAGAGCTGATCAAGTGTAAGTGATCTATTGATATATTATTGGCTGAATTCATTGACTACTACACTAGTCTAGTGGCATCGGCCGTGAACCTACCAAGGTGTATTTCTCCAAAAGCTCAGACTACAAGTGATCTCATGGTATTTAATCGATCGAATGGTTTGAAGAGGCCTCTTTTTGGATCTCTATGTTTTGATTTCGATGTTTGGTTCGGCATTTAAAGTCCCTGCTCAAAATCAAAACAGACCAAAATAAAGTTGAATTTGATCAACTTTGAAGAGCCCCATATACTTGGGTCTATGATGAAGTCATTTGATTCAATATTCAACAAGCTGGTGCATCATCGATTAATACAACCAATTACACCTTGATGTTCTACTGAATCAACAAAGTCCATACGGTTGATTGGACGTTGATTCGACGTTGAAAAGACTTTGGAATGTTGCAATTTGTAAACAAACGTTTCATGCCACTCTGCACGATTTTTGTGGTTTTTGTTTTTCCGTAGAGATGAGCGGTGAGCGTGTTGCTGTGCATCATATGTCCGCAAATGTTTGATATTGAAAGCCGCAAAAAGGCACATAGAAAAGAAGAACTGAATCAATTAAATAGTGAAGAAGGGAAGAGATAATGAATATATTGCAAGTGTAGTGTTCGTATATATGGTATATGGCTTTTGAGGTCAGAGTTCACTAATTCAGATTCTAGATTAAGTTTTCCTCGAATCTCACAATTGTGTGCCTGTTTTATTGTTTGATCAACAATTGGTGATCTGCTATACATACACAGGCCGTCAAATAGTACATGCCTTCTTCAAATGAATCCATCAAGACTCAAGAGATCAAATTGATATAAGTTCATGATTGATACCAAACAAGCCATCAAGTTCAAATGAGGTTTTAAGCTTTGTTCTTCGATTCAAAGACGCTAAAAGCCGTGATTGTGGTGATGCTTTGATATGTACAGTTGAAAGTGATGATGGGGAAGATAGAGTGGAAATTAGTGGTTGAGATTTGAACGACAAGATCAGTATAACTTTACGTGACAGTACTAGTTGTATCAAATATATCCTCCTGTAATATGATTACCCCAGCGACATTAAGCTGCGAGATTATAATAATATCATGATGATCTATCATGGTGTAATCGATATTGAAAGATATCGAAAGTAGATGTTACAGCCCTTTCTACATCCTGAATCAAATTTAAACCTTTCTAAATAAATAAATGTAAACCAACCAACATTATAAACCAATAAATAAACTCACACTATAATACAACAACTTCATTATTAAAAAATCACAACTTCAAACTATAAATATTGGAAAACAAACATACAACGCCACAAATCAAATTAAATAAATCAGAAGTACCTCTTCTTTTTTTGTTTCTTCTTGTCTTTTCTTTTTTCAATACCCTCTCAAAAAATCAATCATATCAACACTATTTTCCTCCTCCTCCACTTCCTCATCATCATCATGACTTGAGGCCGCATTAGTTGTTGAACTATCATGAACACTATAATCCCCATCCATATCCTGTACAGATGACAAATTTGGTGCAACAACACTTGGTCTTTTCGAACCAACCAAAGTTTTAAAATTTGAGGATAAATTCGAGGAAGCCATTGAATTTTCTCTAAATTTGTCTTGCGGATCCAAATTATCATTAAAATCCACAATTTCTGGAGCTTGGATGAATCCCAATTGATTTGGAATCGATGCACGGGTATGACGATGTTGTAATGAGGCAGCAGGATGTGGATGTCCATGAGGAGGTGATGTATTCTCCACACTTGTATAATAAGACGGTTTGAATTGATCTTGATCCATCATGTTATTCAAGTTTGCCCTTTTGGTGATGGCACTTGTTGTACAATTCCATGGTTTTTCACGGACAAAAAAGATGATACAATCCACTGTACAACTTAATGGAACCATGAACGCCACAAATACTAATAATACGAATGGTTCAGGATCATCATTATCCACATAGTTATGGATTTGTGAAATGGTGGGTGTTAACCATATTACCCAATATCCAATTGGATAAATTGCAAAAGTTTTCAATTCTCTCATTATTGCTTGTCTCCTTTTAGAGTTATTTTCTGATGTCAATGTCATTAATTCTTTTTGTAAAGTGTTTGTAACATTTGAAACGTTGTTGTTGTTATCATTATTTGAATCATTGTATAATGTTCTTTTAGTCTTTTCAATTTTCTTGAAATAGATGATGAGATAAATGATTATAGTTGAATAAACTATAGCTATTGTCACCAAATTAATATATCTAATGATCCAACTTGATAATAAACCTTTCCAAACAGGAATTTGAGGAGCTGAACAAGAGAAATTATATTGATAATGACCATCATGAACAAATATTAAAGCAGGGAAAGTGAATGCAATTATGACTGCAAATAAGACAATAAACCATCTTATGGGGTAAACACCTCCTTCATTAACATAAACGATATCATCTTCATTTTTATGGAATATCTGCTTAAATTCAATCTTCCACAAGAAATATAACCAACATCTTTTCATCAATTTTTTGAAATTAAATGGAGTTTTAGGGTGAATTTTGGAAAATTGCGGTCTTAAAATCATTATAGAATTATGGAAAGTTAAAGCCAATATAGTTAAATCAGCATAAATGGTGGCAACTTCTCTTAGGTAACCCCAACCATCACAGAATCTATGAGTATCTAGAGCCATTTTAACAATTTGATGGAAAGAACCTAACCTGATGCAACTAAAACAAAGGATAAATAAGGCCTTGAAGAAATCACTAATTATCAGGGTCAATAGTAGTTGTAACCTGAATATAACTCTTCTTGAAGGGTCCATCCTTATCCATAGCAGTATTGCAATCAGCCCAGTCACAACACTCAGCACACTAGCAGATATTTCCAGGATGTGGAACGCCCTCACTTGACGATAAGTGTAAAAGGTGAGGTCATTGACACTCTGGTTGTAGACGTCTGACATTTTGGCTTATCAGCTGTGGTGTGGCATATCAGGGGTGGCAGTGGGCAGTGGGATGTGCTCTCTATTCTCAGTTTATTTCAGTTGGTTCTAGTGTAATTGTAGTTGTAATTGGTTATAGTCGTAGTCATTTGGTTGCAGCAGTTCAAATTGTTTTTGTCTCTTTGTCTTGGTGAAAGTGTGACTAAGCAATGACTAAGCAATGTAAATTGGTGTCTGGGTGTTTTGCCATTCCTTTTTCAATTGAATTCATCATCATCAACATCAAGAACAACATCAACAACATCATCAATATCAACTACAAGGTCAACGACATCATGAGTCAATACGATTTCAACAACTACCAGCAGGCAACTCCCAACGACACTTGGTTCCAGTCACAGCTCATCCAGAACCAGCCAGAAAACCAGCAGTACACCATCAAAAATGAAGTTGGTGGGTTACTAGATGAGAATACACTATTCAATAACAATACTCAACAGTTTAATGAATTCATAAACAACACTGCAAGTGCCACCGGTAACATCAACAATAACTCATCTTCTTCACAAACAAACAGTTCAGACAAATCCTCCCCCTCTACTATTTTAAATAATGTTCCATTTACATCAAATGATATAAATTTTTTAAATAATGAAATTCAAAAGAACGATACTACTGCAGACCATAACTTAAGTGAAAAAGAATTGGCAAATAGAAGAAAAGCTCAAAACAGAGCTGCCCAAAGAGCTTTTAGAGAACGTAAAGAATTGAAACTAAAGGAACTAGAGGATAAATTAAACAAGAGTGAATATGATAAATCTTCATTATTAAAACAATTGGAAGAGTTGAAAAAACAAAATGTTGTTATATCAACTGAAAATAAACTATTATTACAAAATGGTTCAAACCTTGTTCCTTTAAATAATTCAAATAATGAATTATTTTCCTTCCCATCAAGTGAATTTCATCAATCTCAAAACTTGCCTAAAAAAGAGAAACTTGATAATGATAATAATGGAAAAACATTAACAATAACTCAAGTTTGGGAATATTTAAACTCAAAAGATGATCCAAATTTAGAAATTGATGATATAATACAAGAAATTAAAGGTTTAGAAGTTTGCCATGAACATGGACCAGGTTATCCAATAGATGTTATTGATCGTATAATTTCAAAACATAGGGGTTAAACTTTACATTTATTTTTGATTTAATTTATTAGTGGGTTTCTTTTTATAGGCGTATATGAATTTATGAAATGTTTAAACTATTCACTTCCAATAGTGCTCAGTATCAACAGCTCCTGCAATAACCTTCATCATCTTCAAAACCTTCTCTTCTTGAAATCTTCTACCAACAATTTGTAAAGCAACTGCACCACCATGATTCTTTTCAGCATCATAATCATTAAAAGTCTCTTTATCAAGATCATTAACAGGTTTATAATCTTCATCTTTTAAATCAAGATCTTTATCTGCTCTAGTTATTGGAACAACTCCAGCTGAATAATCCAATGCATTGAAAACTGAAGTATACCCAACATATTTAAACTTACCATTCTCTGCAGTTGGATATGGCGTCACTGGCAATATTATCCCATCAATTGGCTTACCAGATCTTGTTTTCTTTGCTGTATCATTCCAACGATCAAGATATTGCTTCTGTAAAGATGTTCTTTCTGCATGTAATTCCCATAGTTTCGAAACTCCCAACTCTTTTGATGTATTATACATCTCCATATATGGGAAAAATGGTTCTCCTGTTAATTTAGCAACTTTTTTACAATATTCACCTCCATCACTAAGGAAAAATTCAGTTATAATGTTTGCTAATCTTTCATGATCTTTTGGTTCCCATTCAATTATTTCATGCCCTTGTTCTAAAAGCTTTGCAATTGTGTGTTTTAAAGCTCTTGTCACTGGTGGTGTTGGTTTAACAACCCCATCACTAAAACATACAGCAAATGTTAACTTTGAAGGAAGTTCCACTTGTCTCCATGGAATTTCAACAACTTTACCATCTTTTAACCAAGGTTCACCATCAACAACACATTTACTGTATAGCTCCAAAGTATCTAAGCTCGTTGACATTGGACCATTAACACTCAAAACACTTTCCAACCCAGGTAATCCTGATCTTGCCCCATAAGTTGGGAATCTCCCTGAACTTGCCTTCAAGTTAAACAAATTCTGGAAAGAACTTGGAATACGTAAACTACCACCAATATCACTTCCAACACCCAAAGGTGAACCTTTCAATGCTATCAATGCAGCTTCACCACCACTCGAACCACCACATGTCAAATCCCTATTGAAAGGGTTAACAGTATTGCCATATATGTGGTTGATAGATTCAGGCATCATCATGGCAACTGGGACATTTGTCTTCACGTAGAAAACAGCACCCATTGAACGCAACATCTCCACCAGGACCGCATCTTGTTCAAACTGGATAGGATTGTTGATGAATCCAACAAATCCAATAGTAGTTTGATGCCCCTTGATGTTTAAATTATCCTTTAGAGAGATTGGTAATCCATGAAGCGGACCTTTCAATTCACCAGTTTTAGCATAGTATTCATCTAGTTCCTGAGCCATCTGTAAACCTTCATCGAAGAACACCTCACTTAGACAATTGACCAACTGATGAGCAATGGTGGCTCTATGGCCAAAAGCGCTAGCAACTTGGAATGAAGTCCATCTTTTGGATTTGATATTGGCTAGGATCTCAAGGGCATTTGATTCAGTGATTTCAATTTCAAGAGGTGTTAGAAATCCAGATTCAATAGGAAATTTCAAAACATCCTTGACTTGTGATGATGATGGTAATTGATCTTGAGGGATAAGCCATTCTTTCTTGAAGGAAGAGTCCCTTTTGGCTAGTTTCTGAGCTGCGATTTCCTTATAGTTGGAGATTGTCATGATGGTTAATGGATTGTAAATTCTATTCTTCATACAAATAGTGAAGTTGTAATCTTTTATACCCATAGCTATACCCTCAATGGAAACCCAGCACCGTCTTATCAAACAGGCGACTGCCTAAACAGGGCATAACTCCACGAGATAAGATAAGATAGCACTTTGTGTTTAAATACTGCTCAGTTTGTCACATTTTGATCACAGGGACAGTCACAGGGACACGCAACAAAGACCCTTGAACTAGAACAATAAGCACACCATTAGAAAGAGAATTCTTCATAGAATAGCTTAGGAATAACAAGAGGTGGATATAATTAAACATCACCATAATATTTCAACAAAAACCACCATTTTTCCCCCAAAGGATAAGCAAATTTCCAAAAGAATCTACAAATCCGAGATTTCTGTAAAAAAAAAAAACTTATCTATACGAGATTTTGAATTAGTATACTGAAAACACACATTTATTTTGGAGATACACCTCCAAAAATGTGCTGATAAGCAAATATTCATCACTAGTGCCACCTGTTATCTAGATCAAAATCATACTATCCTTTTGCTAGTATAAATTCAACAAGTTTACTCGAGTTTTTATTAGGTCTTCTCGAACTACAATCCAATCCAAAAAAAAGAAGCACAAATGTCACTTTTAACTATCCCTAAAAAGATTAGAAACTTCTTATGGGGTGAACCTCCACAAGACCCAAAAGAGGCTAAACTCCTCTTCAAAATTGATTGCTTTGTGCTGACTTTTGTCTGTTTCAACTATTGGGTTAATTATTTAGATCGTTCAAATTTAGCAAATGCTTATGTTAGTGGGATGCAAGAAGATTTGAAAATGCATGGAAATGAGTATAATATTGTGAATACCGTCTTCACGGTAGGTTACATTGTTGGTATGATTCCAAACAATTTAATATTGTTGAAGGTTCAACCAAGATATTGGTTAACTTTTTGTTTATTATCATGGGGGTTGTTGACTTTAGGTTTATATAAAGTGAAAAACTATAAAGAAATTTGTGTTATTAGGTTCTTCCAAGCATTATTTGAAAGTTCAACATTTTCTGGCTCCCATTTGATTTTGGGGTCTTGGTATAATTCTCAAGATACTATTGATCCAATAACTGGGAAAATCAAATCTTCAGAATTAACTAAAAGAAGTGCCATTTTCACAAGTTCTGGGTTATTAGGTTCATTATTCAGTTCTTTTATGCAATCTGCTATACATACAAACATGGATGGTTTTAGAGGTTTAGCGGGTTGGCGTTGGTTATTCATTATTGATTTCATCATAACCATGCCTGTTATGATTTTTGGATTTATCTTTTTCCCAGATACTCCAGATACTTGTAAGGCTTTTTATTTTTCAAAAGAAGAGATTGAGTTGGCAAAATTACGTGTTCATAAACCTCATATTGAAACAAAATTTGGTTGGTCAGTTTTCAAAAGGGTCTTGGGAAGATGGCATTGGTATTTATTCAGTTTATTATGGGTATTTGGTGGTGAAAATGAATCTTTTTGTACAAATACTTTATTTGCCCTTTGGTTAAAATATTTTGGTTATTCGATCCCTGATAGAAATCATTTCCCAATGGGTATTTATGGCGTGGGGATAATTTCAACTTTTGCTTCTGCCTTATATGTTGATCATACTGGTGGGAAATATCATTGGCATATTGGTATTTTCATTTCAATAGTGTTGATTATCTCTTCAATCATGATTTTGGCAAACCCTCATTCAGATGCTGTTATGTTTGTTGCTCAATACATTGCAGGCGTCTCTTATAGTGGTCAAGCAACTTTTTTTGCATGGGCTAATTTAGTTTGTCAGAATGATTTACAAGAACGTGCTATAGTTTTAGCCTCAATGAATATGTTTAGTGGTGCTGTTAATGCTTGGTGGTCTTTATTATTCTATGCGGCAACTACTGTACCTAGTTTTAAAAAAGGTTGTTATGCAATGATTGCAACAACCATTGTTACTGGATTTATCTGTGGTGTTATTAGATTCTTACAGAAAAGGGAATTACAAAGGGAATTGTTGAATTTAAATGTTCGAAATTCTTCTGATCTTGAAAATATGGCTTCTTTTGAAGGTTCTGAGCCTAAAAAAATGGCTCTTGATCAAAATAATTTGACAATCAAAGAGATCCCTTCGAAAAGCTCTCATTGATTTATATAGACGTTAAATACTACTTATTATTTGATTCATTTGTACGTAAGCTGAGAGCCAGTGTTTATTTATTTGTCTGTAGATGGAAATGAATGTTCCAATCTTGAAGCTAGCACCAAGAAATCAGATGATTCCAACTCACCATAATATCTTAAACCTTCAATAAACCCATTCAAATGTTGACTAAAACTATCCAAATATTCATTAAGGTATGAATTCAACCTCTCCATTCTTTCCAGGTTCTTATTATAATCATATTCTTGACCTTTTAATCTTTCATTATACTTCTGGAATAAATCATAATCCAATAAAATTAACACTTTTCTTAATGATAACAAAAAATTACAGTACCCATTAATAATTTGTGATAATCTTCCGTAAATCTTGATTAATTTTTCAGTAGTTAGGATTGAACTTTTCAAAACTGTATTTAAAAATGATTGAATTAATTGAGATAATTGCTCAAAGTCTTGAACTTTATCTAATTTAACCATTAATTCTTTCCAATTGAATTCAATGATATCATTTACTAAATAACCAAAATAGTTTTTAATAAAATCCTTCATACGATCATGTAATGATCTCACTCTTGTTATCCATTTTGGTAATGGTGTGCCAAAATTCTTATATTTCCAAATTTTATTTTTATTAATTTCAAACCAAGTATCATCTAATTGTTTATCAGTATAATGTAAATTCATCAGATGTCTAAAGATCAATTGATATTGAATCATAACAGTTCTTGTTGCTATAAGATTCAATGGGAAAGGTAAAATAACATCTATAGTGAAGTAATTTATTGCTCTCAGGTTTTCAGTTGATTTGGATTCTTGATTTGCCTCTTTATCAACATCTAATGTTTCCGAAATCAGATTCTTAATTGAATCAAAATTATTTGCACTGAGTGCCTTCTCAGCGTCAATAGCCTCCACTTTCAAAATCTCAAGTAAATAATTATAAATTGGCTCTTTTTCAATGACTAAATTTATTAATTGGAAAACAAGGTCTGATTTTTCGCCAAAAACTGTACCAAAAACTCTTTTCAATCTTGATAATGAGGCATGTGTTGATTGTTTCTTAAACTCATGCAATGACATTGTTAAAAATTCAGAAATATTTGCTGAATTGTTGAGCATATAATAACGTTGAAGATTCATCAATGTTTGCTTGAAATCATATCCACGAAAGAACAAATCCAATATCAACTTGTTTGCAAATAGATATGCCTGCTCAAGAATTAAATACAAGTTGTTGTTATTTAATGAACTAACTTTTTCTGTTGTAAATGAATCCAAAGTAACACCACATTCTTTTAAAACATTCAAATATTTCCCAGTAAGTAAAACTTTTAATTGAATTTCAGGATCTTGAAACTGTTTAGGTAAACCATCTTTCTTTATAACAAATTTGGAATCCCAATATCTCTCAGAATTGAGACTATTCAGTTTAAAATCATGAGCAAGATTAGTGGTTATGAAAAATTCACTATTAGGATCATCTATCACCCCTTTTGTTATCCAATCATTTAACATATCAATATAACTCCTGCTTATATTATTGAGAAGATGTGTCAAAAATTCAAATGATTTCAAATCTCCACTATATTCATCCATTCTTTCTTGTACTATTTGTAAGACTAACCCACCTTTAACGACAGAATGGGTTGATGAATCTGATAATAAGTCAATTGAGCCCGTGTTTTTCAAATCATGTCGTATATTTTGAATAAAATTATCAAATACCGATTCTTCTGATATTTTTCCTCTTTCTGTATTCATTCTGTATATTGTTTGAACAATTTCATAAAGATGTGTCATCTTGGCCGTTATATTTGTTAAAAGGTCTTGTTCAAATACACGAAGATTGAAACCTTTGTTGAATTTGTAATTCTGTTCCATATTATCAAGAAACCGTATGTATAGCTTCAAAAATTGTCTAACTTCATAAACAAAAGATTGTATCACTTTCCCATAAGAATCTGTGTTGTAAAACTCTGTGAAGCTCGTTAGTGCAGAATACATCTTTGCTAAATGGACCACCCTTTTCGTCACATCTTTCAAACTAGCGTCTAAATGTTTGTTGATTTTGTAGTCTGGTCCCAATAGTCTTAGTCTTGGAATACTTGGATCATATTTTTCTGAATATCTAATATAAGAACCCTCTAAACCTAGCAACACATATAATAGGTCCTTCACAATCAATGCTTCCTGGATCCTTATGTCTTTTATATCACTCAATGGGAACGGTTTGATCTTTTGATGCTGCGCGCATAATGGTTGTGTATTGACAAGTCTTGAGCATAGATATGGCTCGTCTTTGAGGAACACGACAGAGTCCTTCTCCTGTGACCACGCGTTAGTAAGTTGGTACAAAAACATCATCCAAACTGAACATACCAAATTCTCTGTACTCATAGCTTTGACCCACCGCTGTGTAACGTTTGTACGTGTTTTGAATCTTTAAACCTCAAATCTGATCTATAATAAAATGTAAACAAAAAGTCGCGACTCTTGAAAAAACCAGAATTTTACCCGGAGAACCCATAGTTGAGAATGGTTTTGATACGAAAGTATCAGAAGAAGAGCTTGCATGACTTCAAAACACTTCAAGATCAATTGAATTCTCGCCGAAGAGCTGAAATGCTATTAATAATCTTTAAACAACTTTAATGCCCTTTTCTTTATCTTCATTATCATCATTTTAGTGACTCCCCATAGTTAAGAGGCTGCTGCACTTCTCAAATTCAGGGTAAATTTCGTGATTTTGGCGTCTCTGAGAAATCGTTAAATTCAAATTGCCACTACATAGATCTGAATATCAGTTGTACAAGATCATCATCAGTTATATCGTTCAATTGAGCTAATTATCGCACTATGTTCTTAACCAGAAGTGAATATGACCGTGGGGTCAGTACGTTCTCTCCAGAAGGTCGTTTATTCCAAGTGGAATACTCTCTAGAAGCCATTAAAGTGAGTTTACATACAACTTAGATAAAAGAATCCAAAACTAACCCTTTCAGCTTGGTTCCACAGCTATAGGTATTGCCACTTCAGAAGGTGTAGTATTGGGTGTTGAAAAAAGAGTCACCTCATCATTATTAGAATCATCCTCAATTGAGAAAATTGTGGAAATTGATAAGCATATAGGTTGTGCCATGTCTGGGTTAACTGCAGATGCTAGAAGTATGATTGATCATGCTAGAGTGAGTTCCTTGAACCACAATTTGTACTATGATGAAGACATTGGTGTTGAAACATTGACTCAATCTGTTGCAGATTTAGCTTTGAGATTCGGTGAAGGTGCCTCTGGTGAAGAACGTTTAATGTCAAGACCATTTGGTGTTGCCTTATTAATCGCTGGTATCGATAAAGAAAAAGGTCCACAATTATATCATACAGAGCCATCCGGTACATTTTATAGATATGAAGCAAAAGCTATAGGTTCCGGTTCAGAAGGTGCTCAAGCAGAATTACAAAATGAATATCATAGTTCTTTAACATTAAAAGAAGCTGAACTTTTAATTTTGAAAATCCTAAAGCAAGTTATGGAGGAAAAACTAGATGAAAATAATGTTCAATTAAGTTCTGTTACAGAAAGCGAAGGTTTCAAGATTTATGAGAATAATGTAACTGCTGATATCATCAAGGTTCTAAAAGAACAAGAAACTGATGATCAACCTGAAGCTTAGACTAAAATGGTTTATACAACAAAATTTAATGCATGTAAATTAGTGAGATATATGATCTACGTATTGTAGATAAGAATACAGTTTATTATTTATTCTATTCAACTAAATGTGAATATTCTGGAACTTCCTTCACTTTAGAGTTGAAAAACTTTTCTAATTTATTGGCGTTCTTGAAATAAGTTGTTGTTTCATTGTTATATTTCCGACAATTGTTAAAGATCAATCTTGCATCATACACGAATTCTTCTAATGTTGAATAATGATCATTTTCCAATTTCGATTCCATTGTACTCAAATCCATTGGTTCTTTAATAACTTCATAATAATCTGGAACTTCTTCTTTGTTCACAGGCGTAGAGAATGGCCATGATGCTGTATGGTTTTGTATTTCTGTCAATAAATGTTGCATAAATGCGTGATGTGGACCTCTTCTAGGTCTTTGAGCCAATTCATCCATCTCTGGTGTCCACCCACTTTCTTTCAATCCTGGAATTGTCATTGGATCGATAGGTTTGATGTTTTTCAAATCTTTGAAATGTTTCAATCCAGATCTTACAACATCTGATTTGGAAACAAGCCTTATCTTTCTTTGAACTGCAGCTTTTTGTAGAAGTAAAATCTTTGCACTATCCAAATATCGTATTATTGGTAACATTGAACATTGCATTAATGTACCACCTTCATAATCTTTAATATAACCCATCCATATATGCTTATCCAGTGTGATCTCTTTAGTAAAACCTTGTTTCTTAAAATAACCAATAGCATAATTATCAGCATACGTTAAAAAGTATTTGATTGGAGATGTAGCTCTAACATAATCTTTCAAATGATTCATTAAATGCGCACCGTAACCTCTGACTTGTTCTGTGGAACTAATAGCACAAAACACAATTTCCGCAAAACCTCGACTATCAAATGGTCTATATGTTATACCACCCACAACAGTTAATGGTTTCCTCACAACAGCCATTGAAAGATGACTTCTATCATAAACTAATCTAGCAATATATTCTCGAGGCATTTTAGGCAATTGTTTTTGGAAAATGTTTTTCAAACCGGTCAAAACCATTAGATTTTCCTTTGTATTATCATTATTCACCACTCTAAATTCAATTTTACCCTCGCGCTCTTCTAAAACAGATGGTCTTTCTTTAAAAGTGTATGTTTGTCCATCAAACTTGAAAGTAGTTGTACGTTTTCTTTCTTCTTCGGCTTCATCGTCATCCTTGGCTTCCTCTTTTTCTTCAGCTTCTTCCTCTTCTTCCTCTTCCCCTTCCTCACTCTTTATTTTTTTATCGTCAGGTTTTATGTCAATCTTCTTTTCTTCATCCTCGAGTTTGGCCCTTTTGGCTATTGGTTCATCATCATGCTTATCAACAGCTGCCCTTTTGTTCTCATCCATCTTCTTATCAATGCTGTTGATTTTTTTTGATAGCTTTATGGCGCTGTCGTTGACTTTTCTGATGCTGATTTGATTCTCTCCAGTGTTTAGGTTTTTGATGTTGATGATTCTCCGAGCCACTTGAAAAAAAAAAATTCGCGAAAAGTTACATAATCACAATAACTAAAATATGAATTTTGATCTAAACACTCGTTTATTCATTTCCATTCTTCATCAGAGAAATCTTCTTCAAGGTCTGCAACTGCCTCTTCGGCTTGTCTTTGCACTTCTGTCAATCCACTCACATTTTCTAGATATTGTGGCTCATTTAATGCTCTTGCAACAAAATCCCAGCCTCCTTCTTCATAACCTTCTTGTATTGGTTTAGAACAAGCTGAACAATATTCATAAGCTGGAGTTTCTAGTTTCTTTGTATCAAAGTTTCCTAAAAACCCTCTAAGTTGATGTGGGAGCTTACCAAGGATTGTGTCAGTATTAGCATTTGCGTAATGTTTTTCAGGATGTTGAAGAATGGAAACCAACAATTCAACTGCTAAAGATGAAGCAAGTAATGCTATCCCGGGTCTTGTGACAGTACACATTTGGTCTAAAGTTCTGTCTGTCAAGCTATCAGTTGGCGCCACAACATCATTACAGAAATAGCAGCCTAGGTTCCCTTCAACACCATGTCTCATGACAAGATAACTATCGAACCCCAAGGCAGCATTTATAACAATCTTCTTCTTCACGTTACCGATCAATGTTGGTAGCCATCTTGCTTCTCTTGAATCAGTCAAAAGGAACACAACGTCATGCAACTCAATAAGTTTATCCAACATTTCAAAATCTTGTTTTTGTTTCTCATCATTGGTCACTGGATGACCAGCCATTGGTATTTCAAGCTCATACCCATTAGCATTAACTAATGGGAAAATCTTTTTGAGTGATTCAGCAGCTTTAAGGGCCTTTTTCTCTCCAACATCTTCAAAATTAAATAATGGTTGACGAACTGGGTTTGAAAATGATATTTTCCCATTATCCACAAATGTAACATTGCGAACACCCCATCCAAGCAATGCTCTTGCAACATAACTGCCTAGAGTACCAGCTCCCAATAGTAAAGCCTTGGTGTCTTTAATTATATCTAGATCAATTTCTGGGGCAACTCTCCACTTCATCAATTTTAAATTCAAATCAACCGATTGTTCAGAAAGTTGAACAGGATCAATCAAGGAACCAAGGTCAGCTAATTTAGGGCCCAGTTTACCTTGAGCAGTACGCTCCCAGCCTGTTACTTTTCCCACTTCAGTATCCGTATTCTCCAAGTCCAGTGTGTAGCTAGTACCAGAAAGTCTATATACATTTAGATGAACTTTTTTGAATCCATAAATAGATAGAGCAGTCAAAAAGTTTTGAGCAAATTTTGATGGTCTGTCTTCAATCACACACGAATCAACAAACCCTACTGTGATTTCATCTTCAGTTGTATCAATATCAGTTAAAGGAAGTGCCTCATTATCTTTCACAATGAAATATCCCTTTTTTGTAGCACCACTACTTGAAATCCATTGCAATATCTCATTTGAAATTGATGGTATTGGTTGCTTACTCTTTATACTCCAATGTGAACTCAAAGTAAGGAAGGCAACCCAATAGTAGAATTTGAATTTCTTTAAATCAGCAAAACTGATAACATCAAATCTATTCAATAATGATGGGTTTTGTAATACTTCTTTGTTTTCAATACTCTGAATGATTGCTTCGCCTGATGCTTTCAAGAATTGGGCCTTATCTAATGCCTTAAACTCTTCAATTGTGTTGAAATTTGTAATGAAACCTGGGGCAAATAATACGGAGTTTGTTGGGCTGGATGGCGAGTCAGTATAAATTCTTCATACGCGTACAACCTGACCAATGATACTTACTATAACGATTCATTTGGCTCATCGAAACTAGCAGCTGCTAATGATATTGCGGGACTCTCGTTTTGAGGAATTGATTTGATGTTGTAAACCGCGTGTATGTCTTTCTTTGTTGAATCAAGCTTGAACTTATCTAGTTTCAAATTTGATAGTTTCTGGAAAAAGGAGGAATCCACAAAAGATTTGGGAGCTGAATACTTGAGTGAATCTTGCGACATTACTCTTTTAATTTGATTGATTTGGTCTTTGATTTAGTTGTTGTAAGTTGATTAAAACTATTAAACTCTCGTTTTGTTTTGGTGAAGGCGTGCAATCTACAAATCCAGTTCTAGAATCCCCATAGAAACAAATTTCCATATTAAAAAGACTATTATACACACAAACAAAAAAAGACATATGCAAATTGATGGATCCAAATACTCCTATTGATCGTCCAAAGTCATATCGTCCAATTCGTCCAAAAGTTCATCAATGTCAACACCTGGTGCACCTTCTTCTTCATCTTCTTCCATCTCATCCTCACCAGTAGATTTATGAATAGGAGGATTGTTATCCTTATACAAGTTGATGGCATGTCTCATTTCTTGATCTTCTTCCAATTCTTGCAAGAACAATTCATAGTCTTTTTCAGCTCTTTCAGCTTCTTGTCTAGCAGCTCTTGAATCTTCATTTGCAACAATATCAGCATGTTCTTTAGCCATTCTCTTCAATTTCCAGTTTCTGTTCTTACGAGTTTTTCTTTGGTAGAATTTCTTAACTAAGATGACATCTGGAACGTTTGATGGATCTAAAGTATCCCATAATTCATGATTATAATTGGAGTTTGTGGTGTAGTAACCCATAACTGAATCACCTGGATGTAAAATACCACCAAGATGAGATCTGACATAAAATTCACGATCATTAACACCCATGTCTGCAGCTCTAGCACATGTAACATCTGCCAAAACGTGTTTACCTTTACTTTGACCAGTTGGTTCAACATCTAAAACAATAAATTCAACTAATTGAGAAGCTTCAGCTAAAGATGGGAATGGTTTTTTATAATAAACTGTTGGTGAAACATCAGCAATTTGTAAAGTGTTGACATCTAAAAATTGAATAGTATTTGAAACTTTTGAACAAATGACAATTTGTGAAATACCACCCAATTGATGAGCAAGTTTTTTAGGTAAAATAACTAAATCATCCCTACATATTGGGACAATTTCAACAGAAAAGGAGAATTTATAGGTACTTGTACCTGCATGGATATCTTGTGAAATTAATTCTTCTGATCTTTTATATTTGATTGGAGCAACTGATCCCAAGAAATCAATCATCTTTAGAGCATGACTTCTTGAGGAATAAAAGAAATCTAAACCATCTTTAGATTCTTGAATGGAAATGGTATCAACATGAGCATTATGCTTCAAAATCAATTGTTCTAAATACAAAAAAGTTCTCTTATGAGCAACTTTTTGTCTAATTTGAACAGCAGCTCTCCAAGTATGAGTGGTGTATGATTTAGCACAGTCTGCACATTGCATTGCAATAACGACATATTCAACTTCGAAACTTTGTTGAACAATGGTATTGGACATAGCTTCACCTTGAACTGTTAATTTCACTTTGATACGACGGGAATGAGGTTCTGTCCATATAAAAGAAGCATCAATCAATCTAATTTTATTTAAACCTTTCAATCTTCTAAGACATAATGCTAACAACTCTCTTGATTCTAATTCAGCTCTAATCCATTGTCCTGGTGGTTGTAAGAATCTTTCACAGTTTCTACAGAAGGAAACATTAGATTCACGAGGAATACCTTCAGTGATATCAACTGTTAACTTGATACAATCATAACACATAACTAAACCAGTAGAACCATCCATAGGAACACCACAGTTACAACACAGAACAGTGGCTGCTGTCTGCTGTTGTGGATCATGTTGAAGAGGCATATATGACATCTTGACGGTAATTTGGCTATTCTCCTTCTTAGGTACCTCCCTTAAGCTTTTATGATGGCAAATTTGTAATGATTAAGGCTCTTCTTTTACTAATTTTTTTGTATCATAAGAAAAAAAATTTCAAAGATTATGTAACTCATCGCACTTAAAAAAAAAAAAAAGTACACTCCAAGTTAAAAACACTTGGGCAAGGAGATTTGGCATTGTTACTTCAACATAAATGGTGGTGAAATCTGGGATTATTATGGTTATATGACAATATGGAGATTTACAAGAGTAGTGTGTCGAAATTCACAGAAAAATTCAGCATAAGGACAGCGTTGGTGACTGACTTACAATGTTCAATCGCAAGGGATTGTCTTCAGGCTGAAAGATCTCTTTTACTATATTGCAAATTTGCAGCTACTCTAGGATTTGTTAGCCTTGCTGTTCTATTAGACTATAGGTTTGGTGATGCTCAAGTTGGTAAAACTGATACACCTATGTCGTCTGCAAAAAAGTTCTCTATTGCGGTGGCTATAATTTTCTTTTGTCTATCTATGGGGTCCCTAATACTAGGCGTGTTCAACTATTTCAATAATGTTTACCATTTTGTTAATGAAAAGACCAGAACAGGCTCTAAAGTGCCCACCAATGTGTTTCTTTCCCTGGTGGTTTTGGCGTTACTGGCTGTGAATATATCTTTTCTGGTGGATGCATACAAGTGAAGCATTGAAAACTTCAATCAAAAATTCACTTAAATGATCTATAAACTTATTCAATTCACGATATTTATGACCTATCACGTATTTATTTACCATTCAATAGTAGAATGTAATCAAGTAAAATACATCCCTAGCATTTAGTCGCCCTGATCAAAATGACAGACCACTTGTAGGAGAAAAAAAAACAAAAAAATACCTCCTCATTAGACTAAAGATGGAACATAACACAACAAAACCAACAGAACTCAATAGTACCATCTACTTTCGAATACCAGAGCTATTTATATTCCAAGAATTATTTTCTGAAAGATTTTTGAAACCAATAAGGGAAAACTTCATTATTTGGAAAATCAAGTCATAGCGGATACCAAGAACAAATCAAAACAATGTTGGCTAAAAAGTGTAAAGGTTGTGGTTGCTCGGATTTCACTCGTGATATCCATAGCGCGTCCTCTGATTTAGCGTGTCAAAACTGTGGTAGAGTCTTTGAAGAGAATCCTATTGTCTCTGAAGTCACATTTGGTGAGTCCTCAAATGGTGCTGCTGTGGTTCAAGGTGCTTTTGTTGGTGCTGATCAAGCACATGCTACTTTTGCTGGAGGTCCAAGAGGTAATTCTATGGATAGTAGAACAAAGACTTTAGCTAATGCCAAAAGAAAAATTAGAGCAGTTGCAACTGCGTTGAGAATTCCAGAATATGTATCAGATGCTGCGTATCAGTGGTTTAGTTTGGCTTTGGCTTATAATTTTGTTAAAGGTAGAAAGTCACAAAATGTTATTGCGGCTTGTCTTTACATTGCATGTCGTAAAGAGAAAACACACCATATGTTGATTGATTTTTCTGCTCGTTTACAGATATCCGTTTATTCAGTTGGTGCCACATTCTTGAAGATGGTTAAAGCTCTTCATATTACAAAATTACCATTAGCTGATCCTTCCTTATTTATCCAACATTTTGCTGAAAAGTTGGATTTCGGTGATGATAGACTGAAAGTTGTTAAAGATGCAGTTCGTTTAGCACAAAGAATGGCTGATGATTGGATCCATGAAGGTAGAAGACCAGCTGGTATCGCTGGTGCCTGTCTCTTATTGGCTGCAAGAATGAACAATCATAGAAGAACACACGGTGAGATTGTTGCAGTTGCACATGTTGGAGAGGACACCTTGCAAAGAAGATTAAATGAATTCAAACAGACACATGCCGGTGAGTTGACAGTTAAAGAGTTCAGAGAATCAGATGATTATAGCCCTTCACAACCACCTTCATTCAAAAAAAATAGATTAAAGGAACAAAAACTGAATGAAAAGTATAAGTACAATAGCGAACCAAATAATTCTGATGACAAAGTAGGTAATGAATTGTTGGACAAGTTATTTGGTTCTGTTGATTTGAACTCTCAGGAAATTCTTGATCAGCTCGAAAGAGTGAAACAAAGACAAAGAAAAGATATTGAAAGAATCAAGAGTACAAACAATATTGGAAGTCGTGTTGCTTCTCCAGTTCCAACTCATGAAGATAGGTTACAGTTTGATGAAGATCGCCCTAGAAATTTGGATAAATTACCAACAACTTCAGACGTTTTGTCTAATGTTTCTTCAGATGCTATGAATTTTGATGATATTGATGATGATGAAATAGATGCGTTCTTGTTAACTGAAGAGGAATCAAGTCTGAAGGAGAGAGTTTGGATCGGTCTGAATGAAGATTTCTTGTTAGAACAGGAGCAAAAGAGATTAAAGGCTGAAGCTGATGAAATATCTGGTCATCAACAAGCAAGAAAAAAGAAAAAACCACAACCAAAATCTGAAAATGATGCACTTAACGATGTTGAAAATGACGGTATACAAGGTGCTATCAATAGTATCGGTGAACCTTCTTCTGCATCTGCTGCTGCTAGAAGTGTCTTGTCTAAAAAGGCTTCAAAGAAAATCAACTATATGGCTTTGAACAACTTGTTTGAAGAGAACTAAAATAACTAAATTTGCTTTTTTGTATATTACTGGGGTGTTTGCTATTATATAGGACATAGATTAATGGTTTTTTGGCGTTTTTTTAATGAATAAATTGTGTTTAAATTCTGTATTTCGTATGTATTAAAGCTGACATAAGCCGATGAGGGTACCCGGATATCATGCATACAAAAAAAATTATTCTTTGAAGTGTAAACATCTTTATCTTCTCTCTGATTATTGATCCAGCACTAAAGAGATCTACTAGCATATATTTTAAAGATGGTGAAGAAAAGAGGAGCTGCTATTTTGCCAACCAATATCATTTTACTTCAAAATTTGGTTCGTCGTGATCCAGAATCATACCGTGAAGAATTTTTGCAACAATATGCACACTATGAATCCTTGAGAGATATCTTTATTGCTAGTCAAGCCTCGCATGATGCTACTGAATTTGCAGAACTAATAGGTTTCGTTTCAGCTGTCTGCAGTTGTTTCCCAAGGGAAACTGCAAATTTCCCAGATGAGTTGAAATCTTTGATAACGAATAACCATAGAGATTTAACTCCAGATTTAAGAGAAAAAATTATTCAATGTCTAACCATGTTGAGAAACAAAGATATAATAACTGCAGAATCATTGATACAAACCATCTTCCCATTATTAACTGCTTATAGCAGTGGTACAAACGTTGCTGGTACAAATGTCAAAGCTTTGCGTCATCAAGTCTATAGTACTTTAATCACTCTATTGAAATCTGTCAATACAGGTGCCAAAAACCAAAAATTAAATCGTTCAACACAAGCATTATTATTTAACTTATTAGAACAAAAAGATTCACAAGGTATTTGGGCTACTAGATTAACAAGAGAACTTTGGAGAAGAGGTATTTGGGATGATTCACGTACCGTTGAAATTATGACACAAGCTACTTTACATCCAGATTCAAAAGTCGCGTATTCTGGTGTCAAGTTCTTTTTAGGTGCCGACAAGGAAAGAGATGAAGCTATGGAGGATGAATCTGATGACGAAGGTTTTGATATGACTGCTTTAAGACATAAAATGCAAATCAACAAGAAAACCAGTAAGCGTGGTAAGAAATTGGAAACTGCTGTCAAAACAATGAAGAAGAAAAACAATTCCAAACACTCTGCTACATATTTGAATTTCTCAGCTATTCATTTATTACGTGATCCTCAAGGTTTTGCTGATTCGTTATTCAGTACACATCTACAGGGTAAAAGTTCAAATAAATTTGATCTTGAACAAAAAATTGCTTTGATGAATTTGCTTTCAAGATTAATTGGTACACATAAATTGACTGTTTTAGGTATCTATTCATTCTTCTTGAAGTATTTAACTCCAAAGCAAAGAGATGTCACCCAAATTATGGCCGCTGCTGCTCAAGCTTCCCATGATTTAGTTCCTCCAGAATCCATCTCAGTTGTTGTTAGAAAAATTGCTGATGAGTTCGTTTCTGATGGTGTTGCCCCAGAAGTTGCCGCTGCTGGTATTAATACTATTAGAGAAATTTTATCAAGAGCTCCTTTAGCTATCGATGTTACCTTGTTACAAGATTTAACTGAATATAAAGGCTCAAAATCAAAGCCTGTCAACATTGCTGCCAAATCTTTGATCTCATTATACAGAGAGGTTGCACCAGAAATGTTGAAACGTAAGGATCGTGGTAAAACTGCATCAATGGAAGTTCAAGCTGGTGAAAAGACTGGATTACCACAATTCGGTGCTGATACTGGTGTTCAAGGTATCCCAGGTCTTGAATTATTGGCACAATGGAGACAAGAACAAGGTCTTGCTGCTAATGATGGTGAAGATGATGAAGCTAATTGGGAAGTTGATGACGAAGAAATTGATGATGAAGATATTGAAGGTGAATGGGTTACTATTGAATCTGATAAAGAATACGATGTCAGTGATTCTGAAGATGAAAAAGAAACCAAGAAGGTTGAAGAGGAAGACAATGAATCAGATTCCGATTTAGACTTATCAGATGACGAAGGCGAATCCAAAGAACAATCAGTTGAACCAGCAACTGAAGAAGCTAAAGAGGAAGCTATTAGCAAGATTGTCAAACTTGATCCAGAAGCTGCCTTCCAAGAATTGGCTTCAACTCGTATTTTAACTCCAGCTGATTTCGCTAAAATTGAAGAATTAAGAGTCCAAGCTGGTGTTGAAAAGATTATGGGTTCCAAGATGAGAAATGAAGAACATGTTGATTCTTCATCTTTGGTTGGTCCAGTGAAGTATAAACAATTACGTGAAGAAAGAATCGCACAAGCTAGAGAAGGTCGTGATGAAAGGGAAAAATTCGGTTCACGTAGAGGTCAACGTGATGCTCCACATTCAACAACTAATCGTGAAAAGGCACGTAAGAAGAATTTCGTCATGATGATTCATAAAAGAGATGTTCAAGGTAAAGCTAAGAGATCATTACGTGATAAACAAAAGGTTCTACAGGCTCATATCACCAAACAAAAGAAAGGTCGTCATGGTTGATCAATTATTCCATTTTGCATTTACGGTTTTTTCAAGAGGTTCTGAGAATTTGTACATTAGATTTATGACTATATTTGTAGATGCAACTTATTTCTTTGATTTACCCTTTGACTTTTTTGATTTTTTAGCTGGTTCGTCAGAAGTAGCTTTACGCTTATTAGCTCTTCTCTTTTCACCAAATTCTTCCTTCTCCATATCCATCAAAGCTTCTCTTTTAGCAACACTAGTTTTTTGTAATGTGTTCTTGATCACCTTGTTATCACTAATCTTTTCATATTTGTCCATCTTTTTGTTTATTCTTTCTTCAATGGCTAAAATTCTTGTAACATCCTTTTCTGTAACAAAACTTATACTTTCACCACTTCTACCAGCACGAGCAGTACGACCAACTCTATGAACAAAATCATCTGGATCTGCTGGAATATCATAATTCAATACAAGTTGCACACTTGGGATATCTAAACCACGAGAAGCAACATCTGTAGCTATTAAAACCCTAGCAGCACCAGCTCTGAATCTATGAAGGGAATTTGTTCTTTCCGTTTGTGGCATTTCAGAGTGTAGTGAAGCAACTCTGATATCCAAATTACGCAAAGTCCTTCTCAAGACTTCCGCTGTATGTGTACGATTAACAAACACGATAGCTGTTGATTTCTCATTATCTTCATGAGACAATACCCCATAAAGATAGGCTTCTTTAACATATGAAGGAATAAAGATATACTCTGTTGATAATTTTGATGGAATAGCAACTTTATCCACTGTATCAACTTCATGGATGAACAATTCAGGTTTGTTCTCTGCTCTTGGTTTATCCTTTAATGCTCGTACTGCGTCTGTAACAGTAGCTGTGAATAACAAGGTTTGTCTTTTATCAGCAGGAGGTAATATACTGAAACATCTTTCTAAATCACCACCAAAACTGTTACTTAGCAATCTATCAGCTTCATCAAGAACTAAATAGCGAACTCTTCTCAATCCTTCAACTGTATCTTCACCACTGTTCAATATATGATCAGCTAACCTACCTGGTGTAGCAATAATAAAATGTGGTTTATTCTGAAGTTTGATCGCTTGTTTAACCATATCTTCACCACCGACAATGACGGCCACTCTAATGTTCATATTTGCACCCAAAGCTGCAAATTGTTCAGCGATTTGTAAAGCCAATTCTCTTGTTGGTGTCAAAATTAGTCCAAAGATACCCATAGGATCAGCAGACCATTTTGAGATCATAGGAGCACCAAAAGCAATAGTTTTACCAGAACCTGTTTTAGCACCACCAATACAATCATGTCCTATTTGAAGGTCAGTTATTTGTCTTTTCTATATTTGAGTAGTAATACTTACCATTTAAGATTTTGGGTATACACGCTTTTTGAATAGCTGTTGGAGTGTGAATTTTCATGGCATTCAATGACTCAGCGAGCCATTTATCAATTCCTAAATCTTCAAAGGTTGACATTATCAAGTTTTATGGTTTTAATTAAGTTTTAAGCTATAGTATGTCTGATCTAAAATGAGATTATAATTTTTTTTTCCTACTGTACAAGAAAAAAAAAAAAAAAAAACTCCGATGAGCTTTTCGCGAATTCGTTCTACAATTGCATATGAACTTTCCATAATCATGAACTTTTCGTTAACCTATTCTATATACATTTTATGCCACTTATTTCAAATCACAATTTCTTTGCACACTCACCCATCATTAAGATGACCTGTTCAATATTCTCCTCCTTTTCTGCACAACATGGAACAATCTTCCAATTTCTTTCTTCAACATATGCTTTCAACTTCTTGAATTTAGCTAAAGAATTCTTCAAGTCAGCTTTAGTTGCGACAATCAAAACATTTTTTCCTTCAATTCTCTTGCCCATTTCTTCTAATAAAATTTCTAATGAATTTATAGGGTTTTCATGCTCTAGACTGATAACAAAGACTAGCCCTCCGGATCTTTCAACATGGCGTAAGAAATCTAATCCCATACCTTTATTATCTTTAGCACCTTTGATAATACCTGGAATATCTGCGACTGTGAATGCTGGTTTATCCATTCCTAATGAGATTGTACCGATCGTAGGTTGTAAAGTTGTGAATTCCCAATGGCCAACTCTTGGTCTTGCATTTGAGATAGCTCTTAACAATGTTGACTTTCCAGCATTTGGTAAACCAACCAACCCTAAATCTGCAATCAATTTCAACTCAAAGACAAAGTTTTCCTCAATCCCACTTCTACCAGATTTACTGAATCTTGGGTTTCTGATTTCATTTGTTAAGAAATGCATATTACCCAATCCACCTTTACCTCCTTTTAATAACAACACTGGCTTCTTTGACGGAGTTTTCAGATCAATACCATGCAATGGGAACAAATCTTGATTTCTTTCTTTACTAATGACAAAGAAATCATAGTTACTAACTCTTCTTCTCAATTTTCTGAAGAAACTTTTGTCTTGATGCCATTCTTCATCTTTATCTTTGAAAATCCAACCTTCTCCTCTTTTCCAACATTCTCTGAATAACTGGATAAAAGTAGGTTCAATATCAGCAGAAAAATTCCCACGACACTTTGTAGAAATTTCCAAATCCTTCTCACCTCTTTCCTCAGCATCTTTTAAAATTTGAACATCGGGAATCCACTTAATAATAGTCCCCACTGGGACAGTCAACACGATATCCCTACCTGTAGACCCATCCAATTGTCCTTTCTTACCATTACCTCCATGTCCAGCAACATAACTTTGCTTCAGTTTCCCCAATGAATTCATACCCTCCACAGCACGAACATAAATGGATCCACCATCACCACCATCACCACCATCTGCTGGACCTTTAGTTCTATTAGCATCTCTTAAAAATGAGACAGCACCATCGCCACCTTTACCAGATTTCAATCTGATTATTCTTAGATCCGAGAATGTTTGATTTGTATTACTTTCAGATTTTGGTCTTGATTTTGCACTTAAATTTGAAAAAGGTGAAGATCTTGTAATATAACTGGATACCGGGATTTTTATATTCATATACCCATATTCATCAGATCCGTCATATCTGAATTTAGTACGATGATGATCTCCCACAACTTCAGGGTCAAAATCTGCAGTTTTGCGTCGAAGAAACGGTAATTCTTCTAATGATGATTGTTTAGCTTCTTCATCTGTTGAGTTTCCTAGTTGTTCTAACCACGCTTCGTTCATCTCTGTGCCAGGCACATTGTCTGGTGGTGAAAAGGCATTTCTCCTTAGAAATGTAGAGGTGAATGACCTTTTGAATATGAGTTGTCTAGAGATCATCTTTGATGAGTTTTCAAAGATGTCTAAAGTACGGAGATGAGGTTGAAAGTTTTTCTAGATATCAAGTACTTGTTCGCGAAAAAAAAATACTTGGTTTACCCATCGCAAGTGATTACATTTATCTGAATAACAAATAATCGTTAATAAATTCTATTTTCTAGTATAAAATTTGTTGTGAGTCTTGACATAGATATCAAATCAACATGTCATGGTTGTTTTTTTTTTCCAATAATTTCTGAATGTATAATAGAGCAAGCGTGAAGATAAAAAAAAAAGTCGTTAAATTGTATCAATCTATTTGTTTGATAACTTAACAACAGTTTCAGCAGCTTCATCCAATTCGTTAACGGCGTAAATCTTCAAACCTGATTCTTTGATCAATTCTGAAGCTTTTTCGAAGTTAGTACCTTGTAATCTAACAACAATTGGAACTTTAACACCCAAGTTCTTTGTAGCAGCAATTAAACCTTCAGCGACATAATCACATCTAACAATACCACCGAAAATGTTGACAAAGATACCTGAAACTTTTTGATCAGATAAAATCAATTTGAAAGCATTTTCAATAGTTTCTGGGGTAGCACCACCACCACAATCTAAAAAGTTAGCTGGATCACCACCATATAATTTAATGACATCCATGGTAGCCATGGCTAAACCAGCACCATTGACTAAACAACCAATGTTACCATCTAATTTAATGAAGTTCAAGTTTGATTCAGCAGCTTTAACTTCATCTGGATCTTCTTGAGTTAAATCTCTCCATGAGAAAACTTCTTTTTGACGGAATGAAGCGTTATCATCAAAACCGAATTTAGCATCCATACATAAAACTTTGTGATCTTCAGTTTCAGATAATGGATTGATTTCGATTTGAGTTGAATCTTTTTCAGTGAAAATTTTGTATAATTTTTTAACGGTTTCAGCTGCAGCTGGTTCAGCGTCTTTAGTGAAACCTAAAACTGAAGCAATATCTTTAGCTTGAGCATCAGTGACACCTGCTTCTAAATCAATTGGGAAAGTTTTAATTGCTGAAGGATCTTTAGCAGCAACACCTTCGATATCCATACCACCTTGGGCAGAAGCGACAATCATTGGTTTTTGGGTAGCTCTGTCCAATAAGATGGCCAAATAAGCTTCGGTTCTAGCGTAAGCTCTTTCGACAACGTAGACAGCGGTAACTTCTTTACCAGCAGCACCAGTTTGTTTGGTGATGATTTTATGGTGTAAAAATTCTTTAGCTAATTCTTTAACTTTTTCTGGAGAGTTAACTAATTGAACACCACCTTGGAAACCAGTGTCGAAATGACCTTTACCACGACCACCAGTTAAAGCTTGAGCTTTGATAACTAAGTCATTGGTGTTTAAACCTTTAGCGATTTCATAAGCGCCTTCTGGAGTAGTGGCGGCATCACCATTTGGAACACCAACACCGTACTAAAAAAAAACATGGTTAGGATCTTGGTTGTATATAGACTTTGAATTGTATTACTTACACTTCTTAACAAAGCAGCTGAACGGTATTCATGAATTGATAAGTTTCTCTTTTGAGATTGTAATGCAGACTGGAAATAGTTCACGCGGTTAGTACTTGTTGATGAATCAGATCGTCAACCATCTTCAAATTTCCCCTATTCAGTTTTTTTTTCTATACTATTAAAACCCAATTGAAAACACTAACTCAATTGAATGACTTATACTTTCTGGGGTACTCATCGTGTATTGTGTTTCTCTTTGTTGAACCATCGCCGTCAGATGGTTGTCCTTTTCTCTGTGTAGCAATTTTTTCACTTGACACCAGGGAATGGTTTTATGGGGGAAGATGAACTGATGATTATTTGAGTAGAGTACTCACTTTTGATGCTCTCAATAACGAGCGGTTGACAGATGATTTGAACAACATTGTTGGATTCCTTGACACTAGATATGAAATCTGAAGAACTCGAGACTTGCCAATGGTTATATATAAGTACGTTGTCGATGGGAAAATGTGTGTTTTTATGATCCTGAAAAGACGTTCCAATCCTCGGATATTTCTTCTCCTGTGCCCAACCAAGATTCGAGGGCCAGGTTCAAAAGGTCTACAACCGATCCCACCAACACACAAGACTGACTGGAGCTAGTCAGGATCTCAGCAATTACTAGGGCCCTCTGGTTTAAGCAGCCCTAGTAACATGATCCATCCTCAACCTTCAAAACCTGTTAATTGACCTCCCAATATCTTCAAATCTGTGCGCGAACTCCAGAGCTAAAGCCGTAGCAAGTCGGGTGTCGGAATCCTACCTCTACAACCAACTCTTTCGCTGAAAGGAAAAGCTCTGTCCGTGTAACCAGCTCCAGCAGAGGGCACTGGCATCAATTGCTGGGTACAAAGGAAAAATAGCTCCTATTCACCATTGAAATAGGCCCCTTCCTCTACCCAGGCACACTAGTCATCCTGTCTCCTATTCCCTCAGCACTGTTGGATAATTCCCAGTATCGGAAACCCCTTCTAGTTCAAGATCCCAGCCTAGCTTCAATCTCTCCCGTTCTGTCCAAAGGGAAAACCCTCCCGGGCAGAAACAATCCTGCAAAACCAGGAGAGTCGAGAGAGGAGTGCTTTTACCAAATAGGGAGGTCAGCTGATGTGTCATGTGACATGAATTTCATTACCTAATATCATAAATTTTTTTGTATAGAGATGAGGTTGAGTTTGGTAAACAAATCACCTCTTTCAATCGTTCTAAACATCATTCATTTGACCATGTCTCATGTCAAAGAGATCAAGGAGAAACAAGCACTTCAAGCTAAGTTCCAGCTAGCTATTAACTCCACAACAAATCATGTATCCAGCTGGTTGAAACCTTTGAAAACTACCAATCAAGATTCATCATCCTCATCTACAGCATCAAATAATGAATTCTTTGATTTACCTATAATAAGCGGTGGTTCTGGACTAGCACTATCTTCCGATCTCCATATCAAAGAAGACATAAACACAATAGGTGATTATGTCAAAAGCGGGAAGTCATTATCTTCATTGAATAAGAAGAAAACCCAACAGAGATCAATTCACCAAATTCATAAAGTTCATAAAGATGATTCAAAAGCTTTAGGTGCATTAAGAAACAAAATGAAGAATTCAAGTAGATTAAAACAAAGAGATCAGTTGATGCAACCTAAACTACAAGCTAAACCACAACAGCAACAGCATAATCATCAATCAAATTCTAATGACAGTGACAGTGATGAAGAAATTGTTCAGAAATCTGCACCTAAAAAGAATTTTTCACTAATGATTGATTCAAAAATTAAAAAGAAAAAGAAATGATCTTTGATGAAAAGCTTTGGCCCTATAATTGGTGGTTTATGCTTCTATGGTCCATATTGTTTACGTACTTAAAGCCAGACTGAAAGTTGGAAACAAGACCCATAAAAGTACATGATGAGCAATCAGTCAAGTTGATCAAATTGGTCGAGCCCTTTGAAGATCAACCAACTTTAATTATCTACAATTTGGAGCCAAATGAAATTCATTCCAAATGGATGAACCCTTCAATTGTTTAGAATGAAGCTGGATGATTCTGTCCAACATTGCATGTATTGTAATAAACGATTTGTATTCACTCTCAAGAATAAAGAACCCTTATATGCTCACTCGCATAACCTGTAATTGTTTAAGTTCATACTTCTTTCGCTCTATTGTTCACTTTTTGGTACCTGCGCTTTCCTCGCCGTTGACCTGTAACAAGACGATCAGATCTTTGCCAAAGAGAGGGCACGTTAGCCCGACAAGCGTACAGCTATGAATTGCTACACACAAATACGAAACTGACGATCTCAAAAACCGTTGAGTTTGAACGTTTACTGATCAGATTTCTGTATTCTTGGAAATGCTGTGAAGAGCTTGCCAATGTATACAGCCTACATATATATGCTGATCGGGTTGGCACTCAAATCACCCACATCAACTACCGAAATATAACGGCAATGAACAATAAACGCATATGAGCTTTTTCGTTGAGAGTCAAACATCATTCACTGTGCCATATCTAGCTAATGTTTAATGTTTAATGGGTTTATAAAGTCATCGGTAATCAAGTATTTGAGTTTAGGCAGGTCGAGATTGAAGGTTCTGTCGAGTCGATGAGATGGATTCAATTTAAGCAACGTTAGTGACTTGTTATTTGACATGTCAGCCAAATTGCATCTAATTCCAGCTTCGTGAATTAACATCTCACGTCATGTCATATAAAAGTACTTGTAGCTGTGTAATCTGAATTGAATCTCTTGACTTTTGAGCTCGTGACTCGTGGCCCAATGTCTAAATTTAAACCATTTCACTGTCTTTAGGCTTAATTATGCCTGATATTCTTTTT